TGAACTCACAACCCTGGGTTTAGCAGGCCAATGCTCAAACCACTGAGCTATCCCTCCCTTTCCCTTGGTTTGTGTACGTATGGTGAAATTGACATTTACTGATATTTGCCGACAAAAATATAATCCTTCCAAGCTTAAGGATAACTAAACGATAAAACAAAAACAAAAAAAATCACATCCTTGACTGGATGGATATATCTATCTGTGTTTAGACCAGGCTTAAGCAGAAAACCTTGCAACTTGAAGAAAAAAAAAAACAACAACCAAAAACTGCTACTCACATAGAATTATTCTAGTATTTGTTAACTATATCATTAGGCTGACAAGGAGGACCAAACACTCCTTTCCATTACAGCCTATTGCGGTACTGTATCACGTACCCACAAAGAAAAATGGTGTGTTACCATAACACCCAGAAGCTCCAGTCATGGACAGGGCCCCATTGTGTCAGGTACTGTACAAACACACAACAAAAGTCCCTGCCCGGAGGAGTTTACAGTCTAAGACAAGAGATGGCTACTGACAGGGGGAGTATATGGAACCATGTTGGCCAACATGATAAGCAGTGGTCTCAGAAGACTGCAATATACCACAGGCATATTCGCTTTGCACTTACTTGATAGGGGTGGTCTCATCTTTTCTTCTCTGCTTCTCCTTAGGAGGAATGGCCTCCCACCCAAAGGTCAAACTCCAGTCAAAATTTCCCCGACTGTGTTGCTTCCCATATTGGATTGGCTTGGAAAACTCAAAGGTATTCAGGTCGATGGTGGTGATGTCTGGACTCACCACGGCAGTGGGTTCCTCTGCAATCCGGGATAAGAGAGGCTCCAGCCAGCCGTGGAAACACTCGCCTAAGAAGCAGCGAGGAAGAGGACCATAAAGGTGGGATTTCATCACTACTGGTTAGACTGCAAGCTCTTAAGGCAGGCCCCATCTCTCCCTATGGACCCAGATTCAATGAAAGAATGAAGCATACGCTGAATAGGAATGGCCTATGGTGTGAACCTAGCCCTCGACACAATGGCCCCCCATTTCTGATGGGGCATCGAGACACCAACAGAATACAAAATGATGAATGATAAATATTCTGGGGAGACCGGCCTCACCCTGGGTGGAGGGAAACAAGTTCTGCCCCCTTCTTAGAAGGCTTGAGAAGAACAGCCAGAACACACTGTATTTTCAGGAAAACGCTGTCATTTCATGGTGGTCCATATATCGCTAGCCTTACGTGCACAGAACAGCACTTTACGCTGCAAGAAATCCCATTCAAACAACTGAAAAAAGGGTTCACGCAGGGACAGCTTTTGGTTTCGGCTTGCCTTGCAACTGACCGGCCGTCTTGCAGAATAAAGCACTGCTCAGCGTGAGTGAGGCCCTGCCTGACTATTGATTATCTACAAGAAACCAGGAAAAAAGGCAAAAAAACAAATCACCCCCGGTAACCCAGGCTGCTTCCAAACACAAATGCCGTGTTGTAAGGAGGAGGGATGGGGGGGGGAGAAAGGACAGATCAAAACTGGACGTAAGTAACTATCCAATTGGCATGACTGAAAACAGGGCTGGATTTAGGGGTAGGTGATCCAAGTGACCATGGGGTGCTGGGCTTGGGGTTCTGGTTTCCTTGTTAGTGACAAAGGGGAAAATAGAATGTTTGAAATAAGATGTTTCAGGTATTCTGTACGTGCACCTTTGTAGAACCTTCCAGATTTTCCGAGAACTACATTTTCCTTGAACCTCCTAAAATGTTGCCAGCCACCCCCCATGCGGCTATATAAGGGGCGGGACGTCGCCAGTCAATGAGATACAAGAACGAAGGGAAGGGAAACAAGAGCCCAGCTGTGATATTGTGAACCGTGCTTTATTGGGTCATGGCGAAAGCGTACCTGCATTTTAAAACGTGAGAGTGTCAGTAGCGACGAATAATGGACATGTTTAATGAGACCCCAGAGGTATCTACTGAACCCCTATCTATGCAACATGCTTAACATGCAATGTTTGATGACTTTCTAAGACTGTGGAACTGAAATGAGCTACGAGTACAGTACAAAAATAAGGTATTCAAAAATTTAACAAACGGGGGAGAGGGGAGTGTGCCAAAGACGTTCCTTGCCTGGTGCATCATTTGGCCTAGGGCCGGGGCCTGACCGAAAAGAACCCAAAAAGCTGGGGGAATGCAAGTTCTTTCTAAGTAACATTTTCAAAAGCCGCTAAAAGCCACACCTGGGGTCCAGAAGCTGACTCAAGGCAGAAAGGCCCAGCTATACTTACAGTGAGCATCCAGGAAAGTGAGCACCTCTCCGCTTGCGACCCCAGCGCCGAGTAGTCGTGCGGTTATTAACCCTTTCCTCTCCTGCTGCCGCACAACTCTCACTATCTGCAGCTGCTTCACGTAGAGATCCAGTTGGTCTTTTAAATAGTCTGAAAGGGAGAGTTTATCGCATGCACAGGAAGTGAGAAGGGGTCATAATTCAGAAGGTCTGCCGATCTCAAAGCACTTTGCGACGGCAGCAAGCGATACTCCCATTTTACAGATGAAGACATAGTGGCGGAGGCAGGAATAGAAATCGGGTCTTCCGAGTCCCAGTCCTGTCCCCTATCCACCGAGCAACACTGCCTCTCCAGAGAAGGACTGCCCACCCTAAGGTATCTCCTCACCTCATCCCCATGCGCCTCTTGCCCAGAGCAAACTTCTTAGCTTTGCTGATCATGAAAACATGGCAGTATCATAGTTCTAAATACGCAGAACACACTGTGGGCTTGACGCATACAGACCTTGCGTCAACACAACCTGAAGTCTGAAAACCCCAAAATACGTGTTAATTGACCAGGCTGATCCTAGGTCTGATCCTCACAGAGAGGACTAAATCCATGACAAATTCCAACTTCCCCCCCCAGCTGAAACTCTCTCTTTCTCACCCCCTCAGGAAAAAAAAAAGAATTGAATCTTTTCTGCAGAGTCCACTGACTCAAGACAATTTCCTTGATTTTCTTCCACCTCCCCACTAAGATTCATGTCTAGCTTGAGCCTAAACATGGAAAAAGACCCCCCCCCCAAAAAAGGATTTTTTTATTTGTTAAAGTGAGTGGGCCTTGCGATGAAAGGCATTCTGCAATCTGAACTATGGAGCTATTCCTGCAGCTATAATCTCTCCAGCTTTCTCCCATCAAAGAGATTAGTCTGGGACTCGACGGTACAACTAAAAAATTCTCTTGACCTGTAGTTAAAACTTCATCATGACCAAGCAGATGAATTGTCACCGGGGGATGGGGGGGGAAGGATGGGGGAGTGCGACTTGCTCAGAGTTGAGTGCACAAAAGAATTAGGTTTTCCCCTCCAGCCAGATGTTACTAAGACACAAAGGCACCAGAGGATGAGCTCAGCAAAGAAAAGGAAAGGGATGAAGGAGAAAGAGGAACATTGTGAAATATCTCGGTTTACTCTGAGAGAGGCAGGTCTAAGAAATGCAGGTGCACAAAGCTACTCCCATCCCCAACAGAAAGAGAGAAAAAAACCCAGGTCCCCCAAGCCTCTTCAACATGCAGCCAGGAAATATTCCCCGGTTAACATTTCAGGGGCTAATATCTACCTTAGATATTTACATGGCCTCTATCCCTGTAGAATCTGGATACCTCCACCTTTAATGTATTTAATTATCCCAATATAATAACAATACCTGTCTTATGTAGTGTTTTTCATCAGGAGATCTCAAACGGCGTTGCAATCTGTAATGTATTTATTCTCCCAACACCCGTGTGAGGCAAGGCAGTGCTGTTAGCCTCAGTTCCCTATCTGTACAATGGGGATAAGGAACTTGCCCAAGGTCACACAAGGCAGCCTGTGACAGAGGAGGGAATTGAACCCAGGCATCTTAGAATCTAACTGCTGGACCATCTTCTCCAACGATTGCAGAAAGGAAACGATTAGAGAGAATCTAGATGTCTGCAGAGTGAAAATGGAATCTCAGATCCAGTCATATTATGGAACAAAGCAGGGAATTAAACTCTTCCAGCACCTCTAACTTCTGAGCCTGGCACATGGCTACCCAAGGACATTCAGGCTCACGTAAGTGGCAACAACAGAGTCCGCTGCTGCTGCAAGGCCTCTAGACAGGAAGTGGTGAAGCACAGTGGTGAAGTAAATGTCAGAGCAAAGCACTGTGGAAAAGGCACTCGAGTTACAGGTGACGACTGAGACCACGGCTCCAGCACCTGGGCCACAACAGGAAACGGCAGCAGAACAGAAAGCACAATCCACGTTCGAGCAGGTTTTGTAAAGTTTGTTGGCCTGTCAGACAGGATTCCTTCCCCGGCTTTTGTGGCTGGCTGGGAGAGTCGCTTCCGTGCTCTGTGCCTTTTTGTTTCTCCTCCAATCCCTTCACTAGTCTATTTAGACAAGCTCTGTGGGGCAGGGCCCTTTTCACGGTTTGTACAGCACCTAGCACCATGGGCCCCTCTTTCCAGGGGAAGCTGCTTGGTGCTCCAGTAATAAATAACACTTGCTGCTAAAATGCAGGAAGCTAATCCAGCTGGTAAAAACCATCCGCAACAGAATTAGGCTGTAAAGTGGGTGACACAGTTGGGGGGTGGGAGGGGGAGTGGAAAGAAACGTAGTGCTACTTGGTGCTGCCATCCTATCAACATCCTTTTCCCCAGCATAAAGACACCAGCACAATAGAGGCCATTGCGCTAGCAAAGCAACTGGAGAGCACATAAAAACAGCACACAAGACATTATATTTCACAGGACAGTCTACAGTTTAAACAGGCTGGGTGGTGGGCAGGAAATGAGATCCGCTTAATCTGATAAAGATGAGTTGGAAGCTTTATAACCAAGTGCTAAAGTGTCAAATGCCAGGTCTTTAGGGAGATCCAGTTTTTCACCCATTAAATCAATGTTTCTCAAACTGGGGTCGCCGCTTGTGTAGGGAAAGCCCCTGGCAGGCCGTGCCGGTTTGTTTATCTGCCCCATCCACAGGTCCCGCGGTTCACCCCTGCAGGCCAATGGGGGCTGCTGGAAGCGGTGGCCAGTAAGTCCCTCGGCCTGCGCCGCTTTCAGCAGCTCCCATTGGCCTGGAGCAGCGAACTGCGGCCAGTGGGAGCCACGATTGGCCGGACCTGCGGACGGGGCAGGTAAACAAACCGGCCTGGCCCA